AACCAGCAGGAAACTAGACCACAATCAGAACTAACCATCCATTAAATAATTTGTTCATTTAGACAAATGGAAAACAACTGTATTAAGAGCTTCCGTGGAGCTGTATTTAGTTCTTCTCTGTAGGACAGAAGGTTAGAAATGTAATTTTATTTTGAAATAAATGATTGCATTTATCACACATACAGAAGAATCTGAAAAAAACCCTATCAATTTTCTGTGAGAGATGGAAAAAAAAGTCATAATACCCAGCAGACTGAGATTCCTCCTGTCCCTGCTTCCCAGAAATAAAAGATTTTAAAGTTCAGCTGAGTTCAGCCTAGAAATAATAGATACCATGCTGGGAAAATATTTTGACAGAGTTACCGATAAGACAAATGAAACTAATACATATTACCAGATACACAAATAATAATGAAACAGTTCATATCTCATCTCCATAGAAGTTCTTGCAGAGGGCTTATGCACTGTGAGACTCCAGTCGATGCAATATACTATACAAATGCATAATTATTTATAGAACTGGTAAATATCCTAGGGACTAATTCTCCTGCAGCAATAATAATTCAAAAACCTCCCACAACAATAATTGCCTAAATAACCTCTGAATTGGGACCAGCACATCTGAATATTTGTGAAGACAGCTTGGAAAAAAAAAAATTAAAAAATCTCATTTGACGTGTAGGAAATGGAACAAACCAACATTTATCTGAGGAGAAGGAAGGAGGAACCAAAACACCCCTCTCCAACTGTGTCTTTTCACAGTTCTCTAAATGCATTCCTGTCACTTATCCTAAAACCTTTATAACAGAAAATAATACAACTGCAAAACCAGCATTATTTTTACCCATCTGCGTTGAAATCTGCCCTATCCTCCCCTTTACAGATTTTCTTTTCATATTTTTCTTTGGTTGCCAACATTTGGAAAGTAGGTATCTGCAATTTTTTTAAACTCGTATCTCTGTGCCTCACATCTTGAATCTTTGTTTCACCAACCTTGTCCCCTCCTCACCAAATGATAAGATGACCTGTGGCATCTGTCCGTCTAGTTTTCTGAATTGCAAAACAGCTTTAACTTACTTTGGTAAAACTCTGGATAATACACAGAGAGATTTTACCCCTGGCATATAACTAACTGTAAGAACATCGTTATCTACTTGTTAGTCTGCGATGGATCCATAAAAACTGGGCAGATGAATGGGGAAAACAACGTTGTTATGTGTGTTAAATTTTCCCTTCCCATGTAGCAGAGCATATGGATCCACTAAAGTCTGATAAAGCAACTAGTGACAAAACAGATCTCAGGTGCAGGGAATATACCAGCAGATACGACAGATGTACTTAAAAAGCCCCGCGGGAGCACAGAAGATAAGACACATGCCTCTCTACAGGGAACTTTCTAAGAAAGAGGTGGGCACAGAGGGGTGTTCTGCAGGTGGAGGAGGTTTTCTTATACATCTTATACTACTTAAAAGGCAGACGTCCCTACATTGTTCAGTTGGAAGCTATTTCCTTTTCTTGCACACAAAACCTGGGAAAACCCTTTTTTCTCCTTGCATTGCCTTCAGCATTCATCATTTGAAATGCTAGAAAGTATGCAGCATCGCACAGCCAACCTTGTATTTCATACAGCTGCCTGTAAACCTTCCAGTTTCCGATTCTTGCCTGCAAAACCATCCACTGGTGCAAAAGCAAAAAGAACCGTGAAACTTCAAGAACGATGTCTCCATTCTATGTTCTTTTGCACTCAATATTTTACTTAGCTTCTGTGAAAATTTAATATGAGACAGAACATAAACCACAACCAATTTATAATGAGACTTTGCAGTGTAAATATCCAACAGGTAACAGGGAATATGGAATCTACTTAACAAACAAAAAATAGAAATGTTTTTGTATACAAAAAGAAACACCCCTCTGAACCCAAATCATAGAAGTAGATAACTCGAAAGAAACAAGTTTAAGCTGGAGAAAGACTGGCCTAACATTGACTGCACAGCACACTGCCAATACCCTGCAATTCATTTCCTGTATCCTTTAAATATGACCACAAAATATTTAATTTGTTCTATGTTCTCTGAATCTCATGGCAAGCATCAAAAGCAGCATGCCCATTTGATCAACAATCACCAGCCAAAAATGATCTGTCATTTTCCAGATATCATCAAACAGCAAAAAAACCCAAAGCATCAATGTCTTATTCAATTTCACAGGCTTTACCGCGAGAGCAGGATTGCAGTGGTTTAAGCCCATGTGAGCAGAAGATGTTAAAGATGTCCATCTTCACCAAATCATCTCAAAGCTAACGTACTCTGACAGTCTAGCCACCTCTTGGTCAGACTTATAACTGTGTCATGTTACGCAGTTTGGTGTATGCCTTTCAGTTTTTCTCTTTTGAAACTCATCCAAGCTTTTAAAAAACTTTCCAAGTGCAATCTTTTGTCATAATGAACTTGCTTAGCATTATTGTGAACCCCCCAAAAATCCATCCCCAGGTTTCAAGCAAAAGGTTAAATACTAAAGCAAATTCTGCCAGGGTAGACAAATGGGTGAAATTCAGTCTCTAGATAGATACCTAAACAGGAGCTGTCTACAAGCTAGGTATCTAATCTTCTATCCTAGTTAATGGGGGGTTAGTTAATACAGTCAGAGGAGTCTAGAGTTATTTAGCTTATCCCATATTAGATTATAACACTTAGTCATCTGAATGGCTTTTCATGTTCCTTTGGCAGTATTGATCTGATCTCCATCAACTCTAACAGGGGCTCAAGCAACTGAGGCTCAAGTGATTTAATGAAGGTAGGAGTCTGGCCATTTGTTCTTCCCTAGAGCATACCAGACATGGAAGTGGGGCTGGCAGATACGACACAAGACCCGTGGTAGATCCAAATGCTTCTGAGTGGCAGATTGAGGAGCCTCTGTCCAAATGAGCACCGGACTATTTAAACTGGTAGTTTAAAATGGCGCTAGGCATCTTTCTTTAAACAACTGGATTGAGGCCCCTAGTTTACCTGTTTGTACCTATGTACAGGAACCTAAATTTAGGTATATTAACCTGTAAACTGAATCCCATCCCTTGTATCTGCTAAGATCAGCTTGGAAGACAATGCTTAATGCAATACCATTCTCACAATCTACCATCCCAGATGTGTTTAAATTAGAAGTACTTCACTTTTCAGTAACTTATGTATATATTCAGTTCTTACAATGTTTACCCAATAGCTGTAAAAAATAGGTTAAATTGATTACTTTCCAATATAAAGCAGGAAAAAAAAAAATAGGAATTGTGCAGTTAAGACTAATTGGAACAGGAAAAAAAAAAGAAAAAAAGAAAAAAGGAGGAAGGCAAATTAAAAAAAAAAATACTGCAGTAACCATAAAAACAGATGCTCACACCATTATGTGTTTAAGTAAAAATGATGAAACCTTCAGTGTGCTCATAAACGCCTACAGTCATTTAAAACTCTCCTTCCTCTGTAAACGTGGTCAGAAATAAGAATGTTTCTGGTCCAAGGGCAAATTGCGTCGTTACCAAAAACCTGTGTACTTAAAAAGAGGCACCACAATCCTTCAGCTCTCAAACTTTTTTTGAAAGACCTTTAAAGATTTCACCTAACAGTAATACTTCTACAAAGCAAGATTCTGTAGGAAGCAATCCAGCAAGTCCTCTTCCACCACAGTCTCATCACCTGTTATTTAATGCTCTCTTTAGAATTTCTAATCCATTACACAACAGCACAGACTTTGCTTTCATTCACAGTACAAGAACCTTTCAACTATCACTTAATAAAAAACAAAAAGCAAATAATATAAGCTTTTAAATTCTGCACCATCAGAAACAGCTACTCCTTGAGGTGACTCTATTATGTGGAATAATACCTTAAAGAAAGTCATAGTTAATTCTGAGCTCTACGATAAAATGACTAGACTGAAGTTTGCGCTATTGATACTGCATTGTATCAGTACCAACTAACTATAACAGTACCAATGAAAATAACAACGTTAAAGGTTCATCCTTGAACAGTCTCTTCAACGTTATTTTGATGATTCTAGCAAAATAGGATCAAAATGTGCCACCTGATACTCTGGTAGCAATGACAGACAAGAAACAGTAAAGCACAGGATGCTCCGTTTGATACCTGTTTGCAAACATTTCCATTTTAAAAAAGGTTGTTGATGTTGCTTAGGACTTTTTCACACATCCTCCGAAGGACACGGCGATAGTACTTATGAGTTTTAATACACAATGTTAGGTGGAGAGAATTTTCTGGGATAACTTGTGCAGCACAAAGGTTATGCACTGCAGGTTAACACCATGTTGAACAATTTACACCTCTTGAAACCCTACACAGATAGCTGTATTTAAGATGCTGCAGATACGTTCCTTTGTGTGAACAGCACTGGTGCTAAACTCACTGCTTTCATAGCAACTGAATATTTGATAGCTCCAACAGCAAGCGAAGACCTTCAATGGTTTAACCCACGCAGCAAACAGACAACCTCATGTGAGCATCTACAGGCAACATCCTAATAAACAAACACAATGACCACCATCACACAGTGGAAATCACGTAGCAAATTAACTGTACTCACTTTCATTAAGAAAATAATTCTAAGGCCTTTTCCCACTTACGTCACTTGCCTTTACTTTTCATTAAAAAAGTATTTTACCTCAAAAGGAATACTTGTTGTCTATTTATTACATAAGAAGAAACTTTAATGCTAAAGCTACAGGGAGCACGGAGTTCCTTTGCAGGTAAAAAAACATTCCCGTGAACTTCTAATTGTACCAAACTTCCGTCAAATGTTTGCAATATATTAAAAAGTTAAATAATTCAAATAGCATTACCATTAAAAAGTTAAATAATTCAAATAGCATTACCTTTACTCCTGGTATAAAGACGCATTATTGTTTTTGTTAATTATTAAAGTCATAGCATTAGCCTCAGAAAGGTTTAATCCTCTACTGGAAAAGAAGCCAGTAGTAAGAGTGCATAACTTACGTTATTCATGTACTCGCTGAGCAGATCCTGCAGGGCCTGCCGCACGGCATTGCACTCGGCTACGATTCGTTCCCGGCGGGCGTCTCGCGCACGAAGAGTCTGCCATCAGCGCGGCTCCGCTGATGATACTCTCCAGCCTTTCTTCAAGAGATGGTCTGAAGCGGGCCTCACTGAAAGTCATTGGGTCTAATATAATTTTGTTCTAAAAAACAAAACACGAGTGGGAAAATTAGGAGCATGCATAGTTTCAGGATTTCTTAAACGTCTCTTATTTCAGCAGCTTCACAGTGTTCTTAGTCTTTCATATCAATAAATTATCTACCAAATTCCTGAAAAATCAGTATTACAGAAATATCTGGTAGCCCTGAAATCCCAATATATGAATAAAATAAAAATAATTGTATCTAAAAACAATTCACAACATATAGTTATAAAATACTACTGTCAAAAGCAGCACAACGGCTTCAAATATGTATTTGGGAAGCACATAGTATAAAAAAAATTAGCACAAACTACTGAAGTATGCATGCAATATGTGTATGTGTCTCTTTACCTCTATATATTATATGTATATATTTCATCTTCAAGTAAACTAATATTATTCTTTCCTGAATCTTCTGAAAATTCCTTGGATATTCAGGAAATCCATGTGAAAGTTGCAAGTTATTTATGACTGAAGAGAAAGTGGAATGTTCTCTGTTAACTAATTCCTTCATTTTGATTATTTTTATTAGTAGACTACACTGCTGAAATGCTACTAGATTATCTCAGTATTAAATGAAAAAAAATTGAGGAAATTGTCATTAACACTGCAAGAAAACCATTATTAGATAATCACACTTAGACAAAAATGTAAATATCTCTTTCTGTAGCACATCTTTTAAAAGCCTTTTTCTAAAGGCTTTTGCAGGCCTTTTTTTTTGTTTGTTTTTAAATCAGGAAAAAGTGCTGGATTACTTAACCAAAAAGAGAGCACTACAGGAAGACAGTCTAAAAACATCTTTAATGCGTCAAAGAGCCTACTGGTTATCAAAATATCTGTATTCCACTAGAAAAAAGATTATTTTCAAAGATTGTTTTCTATTAAAGACATTTTCATTCTTAAGTTATGATCTCTGCTAAACACTTGTGTACTTTATAAATCAAACTTATTGCCAAGTATCAAATAGGACTAAAAAACATAGGTTCTACCCCTATCAGTGTACAACCTTATGTAACATTATTAGTTTTGAGTCACCGCTAGATTATATTCTGACTTGCTTTTCTCCTTTTGTAGTGCAAGGTAACAAATACAAAAGCAATAATCACCTGCTCCCACTTACAGGCACATTAACAACACCGTGTAATTCAGTAACCTTTTGCTGCAATCATGCAAAGAAGTTTCATAATTGCACATTGTCTAAAAATGCTCTGTAAGCTGTGCACTTCTTATTTGAGCTTTAGAAGAAAATAAATCATGAAATAGGAATGAAAAAGTTAAGTGTTCTGTTTTCTAATAATCACACCTATTTTAAAGCACATAGGATTTTTGCTAATGAACCATTTTAATTTTCACAATGTTTTGATAACTTTATGATTAGTCTATTTCCTTTAATATCCAAGAGCAATCAACAAGCACAAGCCAAATGATACAGTTAATTTGAAAAAATCCAACGGAGTCTATTAAAATGTAAATCAGGATTTAGGGACATGATACATAACCAACATCTGCCTTTAACATTAAAAACTGTATCTGTTTATTACAAATCAGAACATGCTCAAATGAACTTATTCTAGGCTAAGTTCTGATTCCAAGTGAATATGTTTTCTTTAATTCAGCGGGACAAGGCTTTTACAAAAGATCTGCTCATTTCTCAATAAAACTTCCAATTAACTCCACACAAGAAACATAACTCTCATTACTATACAGAGAAAGACGATCAAGCCCTGAGAAATCTATAACTTAACTGAATGCGTAGCAGTTAAATAGTAATAAACATAAGGATGTCAGGAAATTTATGAAGATTCATTATTTAATAAAAAGGACAAATAGAAGAATTTTAACCAGATAGCATATTGTTCCAGCTCCAGGAACTGCTGACTTAGCAAAAATAAATGCAGCATTACCCAGAATCATAGACTCATAGAATGGTCTGGGTTGGAAGGGACCTTAAAGATCTTCTATTCCCACCCCCCCTGCCAGGGGCAGGGACACCTTCCACTAGACCAGGTTGCTCAGAGCCCCATCCAACCTGGCCTTGAACACTTCCAGGGATGGGGCATCCACAACTTCGCTGGGAAACCTGTTCCAGTGCCTCACCACCCTCACAGTAAAGAATTTCTTCCTAATATCTAATCTAAATCTCCCCTCTCAG